TGACAACAAGTAACGCCGAACAACGAGTGACGTCGCGAGACGGTGGGATGTCGTGTGAGGTCGGCTTGACTCAAAACGATGAGTAAGGTTGCAAGATAGCGGGACATTAGGACGTTGCATGACACCGGCTTGACTAGTTGGCTCGGGGTAGATGTAGTCAAGGCCTTTCACAATCACGTAGCATCATTGCACTCACACGATTATACAAGCTGGACGTGATGAGATGACTGACGAGACAGTAGATGCAGGTTAACCTGGGTTGGTTTCGGATTTTTGGGTCAAGCTGATCCGACTGGGTTTTAAAATGGGTAGGAATCTTGAACCAAAACACAACCCATTTCTCAAACAGGTTTACCATAACCTAGAATTTTTAGGTCAGGATTGGGTTGGATTTTTGGGTTGTGTCAAATATCGACACCCCTAAGTAGAGCTCATAACACATAATCTTCTATACTTTAAACTTTTTAAATTAAATCCTAGAACTTCTTACTATGAAAATCCAATTTCTATCCCCCAAATTATCTACTCTCTTTTGCGCCAACATATAATTCTATGTGCATCAAGAAATAAAATTTAATATATTTTTCCTAAACCCTAATTTGTTCTTGGAATTTTGGAATTAACAATTCCAACATAAAAATGCTTTCTAAAATCTCTCGCCCTCGCTCTATAGGGTGTGCTGAGGCATCACCCTAGCCACCCCTTTTGGTTTCTCCGGCCGCTTCCCCCCCGCATTTTCTGATGTGTGTTTCTTCTCGAGTGGCTCAGGGAAGTTTTCTTCCACTTGTTGTTTCACTCTTCGCGTTGTTTTCTTTTTTATGGCGCCTCCATGATTTCATGATCCTGGTTTTTTTGTTGGATCTTCCTCTCTTTTGTTTAAGGATGCACTTTCTGGTTCTTCGCCTTCTTTTGGTGTTTTTCCCGAACTTAAGGTCTTTTCTCATAAGGGTTTGCCGGTGCTGTGGATTTCCGAGGCTGAAATCATGTCGCTAGCTGCTCCATTCGAATTTGCCCTGGTTGGAAAATTTCTAGGCTGTAGGCCATCCCTTGAAGCAATTAGGAGTTTCTTTTTCAAGCTTAAGCTTAATGGAGAGGTTTCCATCGCAGTGTTGAACCAGCAAAATGTTTTGATTAATCTCTTTATCGACTTAGATTATTGTAGGGTTTTTGCTCATAAATCGTATTTTGTGAGTAATTGCTATATGAAATTGATTAAATGGTCACATACTTTGGATGTTGAGATTGAATCACCTATTATCCTCATCTGGATTTCCTTCCCTAACCTCCGGCCTCATATGTTCACACCGCATATTCTTCATGGATTAGGTCTAATTTTTGGCAAACTCTTGAAAATGGATAGTGCGACCTATACTGGTTCACGTCCGTCTGTTACTTGCATTTTAGTTGAACTAGATGTGCCTAAACAGTACCCGGACAAAATTTGGATCGGCCCGGATAGCACTGGTTATGTTCAATCTGTGGGTTTTGAAGATTTTTCGGACTATTGTACTCATTGTCTTGCTTTGGATCATTTTAAGGCTGGGTGTAAGATTCTTCATCCTAATCGTGAATCTGGTGCCTTGCATCATCCTTCTGTTTCGACGGAGTTGGCTGACCGTGAGTTAAGCCATCTATTTATGTGGAGGGTTTGGAGGGAGTGGCCCCTGTTGCCCTGACTGAAGGAATTGAGCCTGTTGGGATTGAATTGCCTGTGCCTACTAATATCCCTACTTTTATTTCTGCTGAACTTGTTTCTCCTGTTCCGATTGAGAATGGTGTGGAGTGTGAGGAGGATTGGACTCTATTGAGGGTTTGGAGGGAGTGGCCTCTACTGCTTAGCTCCCTCGGTTGTGTATGAGTGAGCCTGGTACTATGAAATGTGGCTTTAATTCGAAACCTTCTGTATCATGTGCAGGTAGGTCTATCCCGAGCGATGTTGTACCTTCTGTCTCTCCTATTTCTCCTACTTATGCTGTGGATTTGTCTCTGTTGGCTATCGATAGTCCTGTTAATGCTTCATCCTCTATTAATTTAGCTTCGAATGTGTAGGATTTTGATTTTGATGTTAACCCTGTGACGCCTACAATTCTGGTTTCTGGCCTTTTTGTTGAGGTTCCTATTAAGTTTATTTCATCTGAGGCTTTATTTTCTCGGGTGGGTGCTAACTCGGGTGAGAGTGTGAGAATGTAATTATATTGGATTCATTGTTCGTCTGATTCATCTTCGGAGGATAGTGGGGATGAAGTTCCTGAGGTTAATTTGGCTGGACAGAAAGACAGGCCTATTGTGTTTGTTTCCTCTCGTGGGAGGGGTAGGCGTGGTAGGAAATGAATTGGGGTTTTGGTGTTATTGCTTTGGGCCTTTTGTCAGTTTTCCTCCTTCGGGTTCTGGCTATGGCTTCTTTCGTTGGAAGGCTCTCTGTTTCCTTTTCATTTATTTCATTTGGTGGTTTCCAGTTTGCTGGAGCTACGTTTAAGAATTACCGAGGCTAATGTTTGTTTATGTGTAATGATGTGGCTAGGGCTCATTTCCCGGAAGCCATGGCTCGTGGTAACCTTTGGTGGTGCGTCTTCTGCTCGTGGCTATTTCGTTCATTACTGCTCTCACTCCATATTGGATGGCCAGTGCCTGGCTTCGGGGGAGTTGGTAGCCTCAGCCAATTACTGAGCCCAACGGGTTGTTAACCCTTTCATCCTCTGTAACTTTTTTGTATATTTTTTTAGCTGGTTGTACTCTTTTTGGCTGTTGGAATAAAATTTGTTTGTTAAAAAAAACATATAATTCTATGTGGGATAAATGTAGATCAAAATAAATAAATTTAAATCGATATTGGGTCATAATAGTCAAATCAACTCAAATTGGACCATTAACAATCCTCCTAAGCAAGGTCTCGAATGGTTTAGCCGACCTATTTAATTATTAAAATATCAACATTTTTATCACTACTAAAATTGATTTATTCAAAATAAATGTACATTTCAATTTGATTTGGTTCAGTCATAACTATAGTTTGGTTAGTTCTATTTTCCGAATTTCAAATCTAAAATCAATTGATTTGATAAATTCATCAACTAATTCGGCTCAAATAAATTGAGTGCACACACATACCCATAATTGTGATTGTGCAGGTCGACTTCTTTCCTTCAGAGCAGTTTCTTATATTTCAAAGACTAATAGCTTTTAACTTCAAGAACTTAGGCTTTATTGTGCGGTCGACAAAATTGTTAAAGCTGATTTAGAAGCTGTTGTAGAGAAAATAGAATTTAAAAGTTGATTGTGTTGTTTGAATAACCTATTGTTTTTATGTTGCTTGCAACTTGGAAGTAATTTATTAGGAAAAATTAAGTTCATATTCCTCATAATATACATAGTTGGCTAAAAATCTCCATTATTATTTTCTTGATAAATATATCTATATTATATGTCACCAAAAATCACCTTAATCAAGTATTAATCTCAAGGTATATTTGAATTTGAAACTTTTAAAATTAAAATTTGGACCATCCAAACTTCAATCTCAATAACCTTATAGTCAAACTGAACATTTCGACAATATGAACTGAATGACACTAAAATCGACCCAATCCATGTCCAAATGGGCTCAAACCAAAGGACTAAAACATATTTGGAAGCTTCAAAGTATTATTTGGGTAACCAAATAATCTATAAATATAACAAGTTTATAGTCGAATCGAGTGGCTTAATGAGTCCAACGAGCCCAATATCACTTAATTATGACATCATTAAGGTATTTAAATGCTTAACGAAAGTTTTACAATTAAATGAATCAATATAGATCGTTTGATGGAAAACTCCGACTTTGCATTAGATTTTCTCTATATTTATTGAGCACGCCACTCACAAAAATCTATAAATAGATTTTTATTCTTCACATGAGAGAGAGGGAGGAGGAGAAAGAGAGATATAAAGATAACTCTCTTACATTTTCCAGGATGCCACCGACGAGAACCACCATCTATCAACGCCGACAACCATCGTTGACACCAAGGACCTGCATCAGAAATCTCCACAATGTCTAGAATATTGACAATATCAAACCTTGTTGTTGGGTATATTTGTCCTCCTATGAACATCCACTTTTTTATAATTCTTATTGGAAAAATTAAATCCTGTTATTTGATATAGACTATCCCTCTATAGTCACTTGATCATTATACTCTCCATCTTCTTCAACAATGAAGAAAGAATGATCTTTATATCACTTGATACATAGTAGATTTTACAATGGGCCGGGCACCTGTAGTCTTTTCCTTTTCTAGATTTTCGAATTTGGTCTTACTATATTCATTTTTCCATTTTGAATCTTTGTACAACGCTGAGACGTGAAATACACACTCTACTGAATCTATTTTTCTAGCACACAATACTATAAATTTCTTTCAGATGCTCGAAATGATAGTGTGTTCTGATATTGCAAAAGCTTGAAGAAAATACTCTTAAGACATTTATTTTCTAAGTGTTAGCTTTATGTTACAAGCAATGTCTTTTTTCACTTTCAAATGATTATTCGCCTGTCATAAAGCTTCGCCGTGAGCACCTTCCATCAAATAGAGTGTAGTGTTCGTTTATTTATTGTTATAAAAATTTGAATGCAATCATCTATGTATTCAAGGTTATGATAGGAAAGATTTATCTAAGAGAATTAGCTTAAAAAAAGAATAAACTTCAAATTTCATATTTAATGATCCATCGTAATTCAAATAAAGATTGAATTTTTATTTCAAACATATGATTCAACAATTATGTATGAATTAAATTTGTAATATTCATAAAATAATCGAAACATATTTAAAATATGTCTCAATAATATTAGTACCTCATTTGAACAAGCAACTATGTGGTTTCAACTTTCACCTTCATAATTTTTTTTTAATTATAAAAATAAATTTTATTTGACTGAAATTATAAATAAATATTTAATAATATATATATATATATATATATATATATATTCAAAATCCAATTCCTATGATGTTCTATTGCGATGACCGCGGCATCTTTAACTGGAAGCTGATGGGGCCACTTCGAAAATGATGGTGCGATCTGACCTGTGGAAGTGACGCGGCTAGGTAGAGACAGCTCTTAGGCCAGCGCAGGCCAACCAACCGACTCGCCGCCGTACGCCGTCCGCCGTCCGCCCTCCGCCGCCTCCTCTGCTCCCTTCTCTTACCCAAGCAGAGAGAGAAGAGCCAAGGAGAATGCCGCTGGTGCGATTTGAGTTGAAGAATGAGTACGGCTTGGGGGATCCCAGGCTTTACCAGGGAGCTCCAAAGGAGGAGGAGGATCCCAGGAGCATTTTGGGCGGAGTCACTGTCTCCGGTCTCGTTGGGATCTTGCGGCAACTGGGAGATCTCGCAGAGTCAGTGATTGTTTTTTGCGTTGATAATGTCATATTCTTTTCCTTTCAGTTTGAAGCCATACACTTGCCCTAGGTTTGTTTTTTTTCCAATGGAAGTGACGATATTGCCCTGGATTATTTTAGGGACAATGGATTAAGAGTTTATTGTTTTGACTTTTGAGTTTTGACTTGGGCATGATTTTTGATGCGGTTGTTGAATTGCTGGGGCCGAAAGAGAGATTCTATGTTGTACTAATTTTATTCGTATATGGTGTTCCTTTCTGCTTGCATGGATGCTTTGATTCTGTTTTACGGAAGTAGGTGGTAGACCTTTGCAGGGGTTTGTTGCGAATTAGGGCTTTACACTGCTTGCAAAATTGACTTACATTATTGGACCATTGGTCATTTGCTGTTTAGTAATGTGGATACAAGTATTCAACTTCTAGAAGGACAAGGCTGCAAGTTTTGAAACATGGCTGGTGTTTTATATCAGTTCAGGTTTTATTTGGTAGGGAGTGTTAGGTTGCCTTTTGGTGACGTGGGTGATATGCATATGGAGAAAATTCACCTAATTTGAACCTTTTTCAGTTTTCTGTTACTTATAATATGCAAACATGTATGAACAGTTAATGTCAATAAAGTTCTTAAATTGCTTGAGATTGGCATGGGAGGTAGCCCTCATGGATGGAAAATAGTCAATTAGTCATGTTTAAGTACTTAAATTAACCTGAGTTGGATGATAAGGTTTGGACTCACATCATAATTATTAGCCTTATCCTGACTAATTGTGGTTAGCATTATGAATCCTTATTTTTCATTCGTTGCTTTTGAGTATTGTCTAAGATGATAAAATTCTTATTTGGAATTTATTTTGAACAACTTTTATTTATGTAATCTTAGATCTATTCTTTTCTCTTAATAATTCCCTGGCACTCATTTTATCAGCTCATCTAATATATATATTTTCTACTCTTCCTTGTACACTTCTAAACTACTTAAGTCTATTCCAATGATCTTACCTTCAATAGAAGTCATTCCAATAATTTTTTTTTGATATAATCATTATTTGATTTATCATCATTCTCATTTTGACCACACTTAACTTAGTTGTAAATGACTTTTGCACCGCCTTTCTTTCGAATCCATACAAAATTACTTGCCTAATTGGGATTTTATAAAGTTTGCCTTTAAGCTTCAAAATATCTTCTTATCACATAAAACCCTTAAGATAATTCTTTAGTTTAACATATCTTAACTAAAAAATTTACATACACATATATATCTCTATTTTGCAATATATAAAAAATTTACATCCAAGGAGAATGCCGCTGGTGCGATTTGAGTTGAAGAATGAGTACGGCTTGGGGGATCCCAGGCTTTACCAGGGAGCTCCAAAGGAAGAGGAGGATCCCAGGAGCATCTTGGGCAGCTTGGAGGATCTCCCAGTTGCCGCAAGATCCCAACGAGACCGGAGACATCTCTTGGTGCTTCAGAAACCCAAGACTCCCTCTCACTTCGCTCCTATTTTCACGACAACTCTCACATTTGCTCATATTGAGATAGGTAAGCTTTGAAAGAGGAGCAACATAGTAATGGCAACCATAAGAAGGACAAGCTAGCAAATGCTAGTATTATTGTAGATTTGTTTGGTGCAAATTTATATGATACTGTTTTGGTGATTATTGGGGAAAGATGCCATGATGAATGGAGAATGGATTTAGCTTGTTCATACTCTATGCCTCAAGGAGTTATTTTTTCACCATGCGGTACACTAGTGACTATATTTATATAGAAAATAATGCAGAGTGTCCAAGACAATTTATTTTTTCATAATAAAATCTAAGATACATAATAGTATGATTAGGACATCAACTAGAGTTAAACATATATTAAATCTCAGGAAAAAATGTTAAAAGTCTTTAATTTCTAGTAAAGCAGGATGCATGTTTGTAGGAGATGTTGAAGTCATTAAAGTTCATAAGGATGCATTGATTGTCATGAATGCAAAGAGAGTTGGTGTACGCTTTGTTATAGGGTGCAACTTTGATGTGATTTGCTTCTAATTTGTATTGGAGCTCCGTGATTTGAGGAAATAGAAAAATGTTAGCTTCTTTGTTGTAGGCTAGTTTCTAGAACAAATGATTGCACAAGTTGAGGAGAATATTATTATAGATTATTAAATGGATTGATCTCATGTTACACAACCATTTCAATATTAGGTTGCACAACTCATTCCAATATTAGCTTTATAGCATTTAAAGAGAGTAAACAACCACTTCAATGTATAAACATTTAGTGTTAGTTACTCTTTTGATGTTGATGGATTCATTTTGATGTCCAAAGGTCTCAGGAAGACGTTAACCTCAAGCACTATATGGGCTTATTGAGGTTGCAGCTCAACCATTTAAAGGCTTTGGGAGCTTGTTGAGCTAAATTTAGAGAGCAAGTTTCACATAGTAGATCCAAATTTTGCTATCACATTATTCAGTTAAAAAGGAGATTTGTTAAGGTTTTTAATTTGTTAACTTATTAAGATATGTGCAAATTTAAAATAGGTATTTTGTAGGATAAGATAAATTATCTTTTGTTTTTGGGATAAAATCAATGTTAAATATTTGTTATTAAAAATATATTCTGGATAGCTCTAAGTTTAAGTTTATATCTAATTATAATTTGAAATCAACCACCTTAAACTTACATAAATGGTGGACTGAAAGCCAGAACTGTGCATAGTCTTTTAGCTTAGTGAGAGGAGCAAGAATTTTAGACCGATAATGTGTGTGATTGCTCTTGAGGGCTAGAGAGGGCTCTGTCATGAGTTGTGGAGGATTTCAATTGATTATCTATAGTCTCATTGGAAGGATTAGAGGAGAAAGAAATGGCTTGAGTAAGAAATAGAGAAGTGTTGGTGCTAAAAAGAAGCGGAGAAAGTGAAAAGCCAAAGAAGAAAAAAGATTTTTGGATATGTAGAGTTCTATTTTTGTGCAGTAAAAGCTTGGTGGTGCCAAAAAGATTATGATAATTTTATAGATATGTGGGAAGGCATCATTTTGAGGAATTTTAAGTACATAATTTATGCTATTCATTATTATTTTTTATTATTTATCTTGTATAATTCTATATAAAGTTTGACTTTGAGATATTTTGGTCATCTCTTTTGTAGTAAGATTAGGTGTAGGGTTTGGGAAGAGTATTTTGTTGTGCATCATTTATTTTTTATATCTATGTGGTTTCATTATTCTGGATTGGATTCTTTCTCATCTCCCATGGACATAGGCTTATTTTAGCAGAGTCATGTAAATCTTGGAGCTTTTTTGTGGCGTTTAGTCTTTTGTTACTTCTTTGTGTTCATTATATTTGCTCATGATATACTCTTATGACTAAAAGTTTGGTGTTTCTTTTATAAGGAACATGCATTAAGGGTTAATTTATTTATTTTTTTTTATTTAGCTTAGCGGAAATTTGTAACCATTTTAGGTTGTAATATATGAGCTTTCTCATTTTTGTTTTGAAAGGTAGGTCTTGTCAAATTCTCTATCAGTGGAGGGTCCATAGCTATGTAACCAAAGTTTTGTTCGTTGCCATTTGCCCATGCCATTTCCTTCTCTCATTTAACCGCTAAATTGTTGTTGTTTTTTTTCTAATTTGTACTTCTTTGAATGAAACCAACACTAACTAATTTGGCGGTTGCATAGGTTGGCGGCGGTTGTTTTCCATGATGTACATCAACTAGTGATGACCACAGCAGCCAGAGGACATAAAGTGTTGAATCGAATACAGAAGATTGAAGCCACACTTCCACGATTTGAGAAGGCTGTTCATGAACAAAATAGTCACATCCATTTTGCTTATATAGCAGGTAGTCCTTAAATTGAATTGTCATTTATTTTAATTATTAATTAATATTATTTGCATAATTTATTCATAGCAAAAGCAGAACATTTCTTTCATACATTAATTGATGCTAAATTCCTTGTCTATATCATGGTCTGGCCTTTGAAGATGGGCAAAGCTACCTTAATGTATTTGTCAGTCTCTCATGCCAAGCAGGTCCCCAGTTTGTACAACAACGACAACATCAAGCCTTTGTCCCACTATGTGGAGTCGGCTACATGAATCCTTTTTCGCCATTTTTTCATGTTAAAAATCAAATTCTCATTTAAATCTAATAAAGAAAGATCATTTCTAATATTTTCTAGCCAAGTATTTTTAGGTCTACCTCTACCTTTCTTAACATAAGTCAAATCTAATACCTCAATTTTCCTAACCGGGTCATCCAAAGGCCTTTGTTTAATGTGACCAAATCATCTAAGGCGACTCTCTCTAATCTTATCTTTCCCTGGAGCTAATCCAACCTTTTCACGTATATGCTCATTTCGTATCCTATCTCTAAGGGTAAAGTCACTCATCCACCTAAGCATCCTCATCTCTGCAACACTTAACTTAGTATTATGCTTCTCTTTTAATGGCCTACATTTGGCACCATAAAACATTGCAGGTCTCACCACCATCTTATAGAATTTTCTCTTAAGTTTGAGAGGGAGTGAGGGACTGTTCTATCGCACAATAGTTTGTGCTTAAGTTTGATTAAAACTCATGATAATGTATCTAGGACATTGATCGAGATGAGATGTTTACTTGATGTGAGAATCAATTTTGTATCTTTGAGTGATGTATGATGCATGTTTTCTAGGAATTTTGAAATTCTCAAGATTTGTAGGAGTTCATCGGTTATCATGAGGGCTGAAAGAGTCAGAGGATTTTATATGTTACATGTGCACAGGCTCTTCAATTATTTCTTTGCCTGCAATGGAGCATCATATTTTAGGGCAGTGAAGAAGAGTTGGCTTTTAAGCTATGGGAGAAGTTTTGCAACAAGATTAGGCATGAGATGATGAGAAGACTTTTAGGTGATCAAGTGAATTAGGTTTTTGTTGTACTGCCTGTCTAGGTGTTGGCTTGCACTTCTTCTCTAGACTTTGGGTTGTACTATTATGGAGGGTGTGCGTCCAAGTTTTGCATTACCACTTTATAGTGGAACATTTTTTTGCGGAGGTCTTGTAGGTTTTTAGATCATGTGGCATTTAATCTTGATGAAATTCCATGATGTTGAGACATTCAAGTTTTTAGAAGCTTAGGAAGGAGTCATAGAGGTGATCCAGTTTTGCTTCCATAGCATTGAGTTAAGGGAAAGAATCGTTAATCATCTCGATGATAATTTAAGAATATTCTGATATATACTTGTGGAGTGATAAGGAGCGGTATTACCATTAGAAAATCCACTAGAGAGAATGTATTTATATATATTATGATATATAGTTGTGGTGTGTATATATATATATATATATATGTATAACTTATTTATACAAAAGAAATCTAATTAAGGGTGGTCGACACAATTAAGTTGTCATTTTGCACTATTAATTTCATGTGGATCCACCCGAGCATATAGATCACAGCTGTGACCTTTTAAATGTGCGTTATCTATAGTGAGTCTCATTACAGTGTAAGACACATGCTTCAATAAATATGACATTTATATACAAGTATGGAGAACAAGTGAAAAAAATACTATTTAGGAAGACATTTGGCATGGGTATCTTTCTTCATAGTACACATCTTACATATATTTAACTCATCCCTACAGCGTATATCCTTCCCTCCCTCCTATATACTCTTTGAGACAAGAACACTCGTGCAATAATTCTTATTTTTCCAAAAAAAAAATCACCTTATCTCTCTATCTCACACACACACTCTCTCTCTCTCTCATATGCGCGCGCACACACTCTTATTTAAAACTTATTGTTCAAAGAGTTCCTCCACACTATTCTCTCTTCTTCTAATCTAAAGAACTTCAGCATATAAGTACTTTTTTTTACAGGCTTCATTTGAACGTGAATCTCTTTCCTTATTTGTTATCTATTTAGAGACAGGTTTACTCCCTTCAAAAATAATTTCTATTTCAGGATGTGGATGGCATTCCAAAATCCAGACTGGCCAAAGCCATATTTTTTTAAATGATTTACCAGAATTTATGTCAGATTCTTATGAAGAGTGTCGTGGCCCACCACGCCTCCACTTGCTTGATAAGTATGATGCAACTTTGTTATTTTATAGTATTCGGTATCTTCAATTTCTTTTTCTGCTTATCTAGTCTATTTTGGCTACAGATTTGATAGTGCTGGTGCCGGAGCTTGTCTGAAGAGATATTCTGATCCCTCTTATTTTCGGATGTTTATGTCTAGTTCAGATTCAGTATTGGCTGAGAAAGCAAACATTGGAATGAAGGTTCAAAGAAAGAAGGTTTGCATTTCATATTAAATTGATGAAAATAATTTATGGGGGTTGAAAATTTTGAGTATATATGCATTTAGAGTTGGATGCCATAAGTATGGTGGATGCCAATAAGATTAATTGTTGAAAGATCATGTGACTCACAAATTAATCAATCTTGGTAGAGATTTTTAAGCACACAGATTATGGGTTCCATTCGTTGGATCAATTCTCTTATACCTATGCCTTCTCTTCCTATTATAGCCTCTAGCCTCTCTTTGGGATATTTTTCCTTTTTTATAAATAGCTTTGATATATTTCCATTATAAGTCTTTTGGAGAAGTTCATGAATACTTCCACATATTGTACATAATCAAGCAAGAAAATTCATAGGTTTTTTCTACTTTTTTGAATTAACTAAATACATTCTCATATTTTTTGTTAATAGATATATATTTTGCATGTGTGTTTAAATGACTAAAGTGGTAATAAATTAAAGAAGTTTAATAAAAAAATGTGTTTTTTTTTTGCCTTTTTTGTTACAAAATTTAATCAATATTAATTTGTCTCCTTTTTTTGCAAGACCAGTGGAAGGTTTTCAAATGCTTTCTTCAAATAAGGTTTTGTTGTATTTGAAAAAAATTGTAACTTTTCATCAAGATTAGGCACTTTCTCAAGAAATTGTTTTCCACGTGCTTAAAATAAATTATCTTAATAAAGTCTTCGATGGTAGTTTAAGTCAAAAAACTTTGGAACATTGGTTGTTTAGAGTTTGTTTGGAGCTGCTGCAATTTTTTATAAAGATAATTATAGAGTTGTTGGGGGGGGATTATTTTTTTTAAGAGGGGGGGGGGGGGGTTTTTTTTTTTAAGGGTCTTCTGGGAATTTTTAGAAAATAAGCTGCATGGGTATGTATATAACAATTCTCTCATAACTATCACACTCTAAGCAAATCTGGTACTCAAAAGCAACTTTCAACCACAAAATTTCTTAAAAATCAAATGGATGTGTAATAATGGTTTGAAAAGCAAAACAGTGAGAACACCAAACAAACCCTTATGCCATATTGAACCACAAATCAACCAATTGTATTTCATGTGTATGGGATCAACAAATTGTTTATTCAATATACATCACTTATAAATATATAATAACATAATCATTCTCTTAATAACTCATCAAAATAATAATAATTAAAAAAGTTAATTACTTACTAGTATTAGATTTGTCATTAAAACTATCACTACTATTATTAATGCAACTTATAACTTTTACATCATCATACATTATGGTCACTAAATGCTTTTCTAATTATTAGTTGGGATGATGAAGATGATTAAATTTTATGGTTTTGAAACTGAAATTGAAGCTGCATTTTCAAGTAAGTCATATTGAAGTTTATGGTGCACAATTCGCAAAGACAAACCTAAGATGACATGCATAAAGGCACACTCCAAAGAATAAAACCTGTAGTCCACTAACTCCTAGTTAGGTATAAAAATTAATCTTTTGATACAAAGAAAAAAAAACACAAAACTTTAAATAATAATTTAAAGATCATCCTATATCTAAAGTTTTTCAAGAAAATATAGGCAAAATAAAATCATGTAACCATTAGGATTCACAGAACAAATGAAAAATCAGATTTTAGCAGACTTGATTAAAGCCCAATAACCCAAGTATATATTAGAAAACGTTTAATGATAGAACTCGCCGAAGAAAATTAAATCATCTTGCTGATTAAAGGAGCAGGTTCTCCTAGAATTTGTTGTCGAGACTTGCTGCTCTTTTGATGTTCGCATCCAACCTACACACAAAATTTAAAATGTTATTGAACCATTGAATGAATTTTATATAATTGGTGGTATCAGCTAATCCCAGAAAACAACAATTCAACAACTCTTGATTCCCATCTAACACAAATCATTTTTTTTTTGTCTTCAACTACAATGCAGAATGAGAATAGGAACAAGGGATTCAAATCCCAGCCATACTGAAGAGATGCAAGAATAGAAGGAAACCATTAAATTGAAGTCCTCTATAGGAAAATAGCTATTGCCAACATATCATGAGTAGAAGAAAATTGATAACAGGATGTTGGTGAAAATTGCAATATATGTGAAACAAATCTCTCTAGTTATAGCAGTATATGGTGATAGAAAAACATTAACATTAGAAAAAAAAAAGCTGCAATCAATGCAATCAACTACAGCTCCAGTAATCAAATCCAAGAAATTTCATAATTTCTGCATCAATTTTCCTAGATTAAGAAAATTTGGGCTTTGAGGAATTCAGATTTGATATTCATCAAGTAAATTTAGGTATAAATGCTAAATTTCTTATGATAATTCATGAATACTCACGAGCACATTTATCACACTAATGCATATTCTTTGATTTCTACTATCGGTACTTGACACTGCCATCACTAAGAATAGCCTTTGTAGGAAGATGAATTAAATTTGTCATATTTGGATAAGAATTCACAAAGAGATAGAATGGTAACATTCACTAGATAAAGTTAAATCATATGCACTTAAGACTAGACCAATAATATAGCTTCTTAAAAATTTCAAATTATAAGACCTTGTTCCTATGCGATACATAAAGCTTATATGATCACATCTTTCATGCATTAAATTTCTTATTGGTCTCTCTAAGAAACCTTGTTGGATTCAAACATACCATCATCTTATCACTTGATTTGAATTCCACATATTTCTTGTTCCTAACAATACTATTTAATAGCTAATTTCCTATGAATATTGCTTTGCAAATATTACACATCATGAAAATAATGTGAACTGAGATAAAATACTAAATTACCAACATGCATCCTAATAGATGCTAATAATGATTTATAACATATTCCTAATGATAAGATGATTAAAAAATTGAAAGCTGATAAATCACACAAATATTTTATTTTTATATGTACAAACGACCTTTTAAAAGAAGACTAATAAAAATGGCTTAAATTTCAATTGTGATTAGTCATGCACTTTTAAAATTGACCCGAGAGATGGAGTTTTAAATTTCAAAGTTCTGTTAAGGCATTTATCACTAGCAAGTTTGTTGGAATTTTGACCTAAATTTACTTTTCTTCAGGTTTTGTTTATGGATTTGCAAGTAAAAAAAGCCTAGAACCGTACAAAATCGATTTAGCTTGATTTGCAAAACTAAATCTATTTGGAGCTTTCTTAGGAGTTAAATCAACGTGTTCAATTGATTCATCAACTATTGTAGGCATGATTTGCTCACTCACATCTAAGGATGGATTCAATTTCGATTAAAATTTTAGGTTTATATTCAAAACATATTTTGTTTCCATCAAAAGTTCATATTCACACTCACGACTAGATCTCCGTATTCTGATTGCAATTTAGGTCTCAAAAATCCCAAAAAAAAATTTGCATATTAGGTTATAAGATAATTGTAGGTTCAATCTTAATTTCAAGTTAAGTTTCAAGTTGAGTTTTATATATAGGATTTCTCTCATACTCAAATTCTAACCTTTAGATATAAATTCACTATCTCTCTGAGGTTTATGTTCTGATATGATATCATGCTCAATTACAATTTTAGACTTTTTTTTTTCACTCTTCTTCATGTACATTTCTTGTTCATGAATAGGCTCTAGTATAGGTGCAGATTAAGACTCAATAACCTCAAATGATAGACTCATATTATACTTACAATTCATCTTCCACATGTAAGTCATCCTAGAAAGGATATTCATAAATTATAATTTATTTAATAAAATTAGATTTGATCATGCATGATTTTTGTGTCAATATATGTTTGTGTCAAGATTTATAGGACAGGATAATGATTTCTTGTTACGGACATTAAACACAAATATAGTAGTCCAAATAAAATAACTGTAATATATCTCAATAGTCAAAGCTATGGATAAAATTTCACATAATTGTTTTGGTGAACTTAAGTTTTTTTTTTTTTTTAATTTCTAGCCCGAGTCCTTCTATAAAAAAATAAAGGTAATATAATACTCCCAAGGATTGCTATTTTATGTCCTTTGATTTTTAGTTACAAAATTCATATAAACCTATTATAATATTCAAATGCACCATATTCATTTTGTTTGCAATGTTTATGTTATCCATGCATGTGATTCCTATAGTCATCGAATGACAGATGCTGCTCTTTAACTTTATGTTTTAGGTTAGCCCTTGAAGGTTTAGTTTCTCTTGCAGCACTTTGCCCAAATGATTAAATATGTCCCACCTATTTTAATTCAACAATTTCGACTTTTTGGAATAACATAAATGATTAGTTTTAAAGAATTCGTCTAAATTATCAATTCAGTTTGAAAATTCTTTAAGATTGTACCTCTTGTCGAAAATAAAAATATAGATTTAAATATAATAATCATTTTATTATTGCATAGAATCATATCATACATGGTTTTGTTTATATTGCAATTTTTGTTATATCATTGATTGACCCAATTATTATAGTCTGCATCTAGTTGACATGATGATGCTATTATAAGCTTTGATACCAAATATGATGCAGAATGTCTTAAGTTATATTGTTCTCTTATTCAAACTTAGGATGAGATGCATAAAAGCTCGCACAGATGGTCATAATGTGCATTCCACCGGCTTTTAGTTTATGTAAGGTTTAGTCTCTTTTGATGCACATTAAATGTACGTATAACTCACTCCAAGATCTGAAATTTCACTAGAGAATGTTAGAACAAAATAAATAATGCAACAACTAGGGTTCACACTAAAAAAAACAAATTATAGTAGATTTGGCAAGACCTCAATTACAAAATTGTAGATGAAATAAAAAAAAAGAAGTCGCCAAAAGCCATCTGACTTATCCTTAATATTAGAAGTAGCTTCGCTAGACTTCACACAGAATTTGCATCCTACTTTGAGAGAATCTAAAGTTTTATTTAAGCATTGAAAAATTTTACATTCCTAGAGGCCTATTTATAATAAAAATTAATCCCATAATTAAAGTTCCACAGAATTCAAAAAAAGCGAAAACAATAATTCAACAATTTCGCTGATCCTACATAAAACAAAATCTTCCATCTCCAGCTGCACCATAGAATGGGAAATGAAAGAGGGAATATGGTCATAGAAGGAAACCACCGAACCAAAGCCTTCTAGAGGAGAATATCCGATATAGAAGGAAAGAGCCAGCCACATATGCTTTAGTTCACATACCGTTATTAGAGTTGTACCTTTAGTTTATTCTTTTATGCACAGAAGTATTACTTCTGTTATGCATCACTCAGTAACTAACATTTTTACTTATGCACAGATAAATAAATCTTTGGTTTTCTTGCCTTTTTCATCATGAGTTATGATTTCAATTTATATCCTGTCCTGACTAAATCTAGAATTTTTAAACTATTGTATGCTTATTGCAACTCAACTCAGCCATGGCCATCGTGTAAAACATTTGCGTTTTGGTCAAAACTTTTCTTGTAGATGAGATACTTTCTTCTCATCTTATTAATTGATTCCGCGTGAGTAGGACTGAGTTGCTTAGCTGTATTGTGTGCATGAAAACAAGTATGTTGGAAATGTGATAGATACTTGGTTCAAAGTAAGATTTTTTTTTTAGCAGAAGCCAAGATCAAAAGGAAGAAATGGATTAGCTCATCATTCTATAAATGTGACCCTGCATGGTAGGAGGTAAGAAATCTCTCCTTGCATTCAGAGTGAAGTAATATTTGATTAACTTGTTCTAGTTTCTGTTTTAATGTTTTCTTTCTGCTTAATTTTTGAATGTGCAATTTGAACAGCAACATGCAGTTTGCATCACTTGCCACAGATGAGCTAAGCTTTTCAGTTGATGATGCATCTGCTTCAGATACATTATCAATCTCTGGTTTTACAACCGAGCACACGCATTTTAGTTCAAACAAAAGATCAGGTTGTCTAGAAGTGCAAAGTACGCCTGCATCAATGTCAAAAGAACTGTTTGATATACCTGCCACACAAGTAGAGGCCACGCAGAAAGTTGATAGCATTTTCAATGATGACAATAAAGTTACTACCAGTGATTATGTAATACAAAATTCATTGCACCAAAAAAAGAATCCTTCATCATCTTCCATCGATTGTGATGAAAAGCCTGAAATGGTTAGGTCTGTAACCCAGATGCTATCTCATGACCTACCTGAAGACGGGCTAAATCCAAAAGCTGCAGGACATAGCAGCTTATTATCAAATGGGAATCATTTAATTGATGGCCGCGGAATACAAGGGGAACAAATTTCCAGATCATTGACATGGGATGAAAGTTCAAATGATAGCCTGGGTGCATGCGTAAAAACTGTCTCCATCTTGCCTTATTTTGTATCAAACGAAAATGCAACCGGTGATCTTGAAATTCCAGACAAAATTGTTTACAGCACATGTTCTGCTGCATTGGATGAAGAGGCTGAAATTATAGATTCTGCAAGTTCTAAAATTCCTGATGGCTTCATTCCTTCTAGGCATCTAGATTCAGATCTGTTGTTTGTAACCCTTGAAATGTCAAATCGACAGAGTGAAATGAATTATACTGAAATGCATAATCAAGAAAATGTCTTGCCCGATACCGTAAAGGCGGCTGTGCCTTTTACTGCTGGAGGCCAGATTGGTGTACTAACAAGTCAGTTGGACAAATGCATGGATGCTTCTAATGCCTTGGACTCTAAGGATCAAACAAATTTTGAGTATTGTGGACAAGAAATGATATTATCACCTCATTTAAATTATAATGGCATGGAATGTGAAATTAATAAGATTCTGGCAGTCACCATCCCTTCGTTAGATGATATAGATAGTGAAATTGTGCATGAACCTCGTAGTTCATTGAAGAAAAATTTCTCTCAAGTTATTCCGCTTACAGAGGCTGTGGTCATTGATAGGATTCCACCAGAAGGTTCCTTGACTCGGGATTCTTTTGATGATAATTATGCTAAAACTGTTAGTGAAAATGAGATACTATGTGAACACCGAACTAAACAGGAAATGGAGTCAAAAGCTGATTCAAATAGTTCAGGTAAAAAATTTGAACTTAGTTCGGAAAAGGTGATTGCTGCTTCAAAATTGGATTGCCCGGACTATGAATCTCTAATAGCATCTTGTAGCAGTTCTCCTTGTCCTGGGTTTATCATTCCTAGTACACAAGCTGTGGTCATTGATGGGGTTCCGCCTCCAGAATCGTTATCTCAAGTTTATTTCAGTGGTACTTCTGCTAAAACTTCTAGTGAAAAACAGATATTTTGTGAATGCCAAACTAAACAGGAAACAGAGTCAACAGATGACTCAAAGTGTCAGGGGAACGAATATCAAAGCAATATCGAAAAGGTAATTGCTGCTGCAAAATTGGATGACTCTGATTCTAATACAAAAGCTATGGTCAGTGATGGGATTCCTCCTGAAGAATCCTTGTCTCAGGATTCCTTCGTTGATATTTCTGCCAAAATTGCTACTGAAAATGAGGTGCTTTGTGAACACCAAACTAAACAGGGAACAGAGTCAATGAGTAAATCAAATTGTCAAGGGACTGAATATCAAATCATTACAGAAAAGGTGATCACTGCTTCAAAATTTGATGGCCCCAGTTCTGAAACTCATGTAGCTTCTCGTGGTGCCTCAGATGCTTATGCTTCCCCAATATTATGTGATTCGTCTATTTCTAGTAGTGTGGAAAGCAATAGTTCTTCAACCCTTAGTTCTGATGTCACTTTGTCTGGAAGTCTTATGAACATCATTTCTCCAAGAAATGATTTTGAAGATCCTCGTGGTAATATGTCTGCTCAGTTAACTAATAAGTCAGTGATCTTACCTTCCGATGTTACTGCAGCCACAACTGTAGTGTCTCAAGTTTTTCCAGTTGAGTCTCTTAGAAAATCCTCAATAAATATATGGACCAATGGAGGGCTTTTGGGACTTGAACCTTCAAAACCTCCAGATATTAGTGTTCCAAATGCTTGTGGTAATGATGATATTTATGATGACAGATTAGCTGCAAACTCACAAGCACGTGTGCTAGGCAGTGGAAACGAATCAAGAAAATTGTTTTTTGAGGAAGATAAATTGAATCGAATATCCTTCCCTGAACAAGATAACGCCATGGGTAAAATATCTGATAACCAAAGTGAGTCTATGTTCTCAAAGAAATGTCCTAAAAGCTCCATTCAAGCTTCATTTTGTGAGATTGGCAAAGCTCAAAATGCATACTTAAGTGGTGCAACTTCAGAAATTGATAGTGTTCAGGGAAAAGAAGGTAGTTCTGTTTCTTCTGAAGCTTCTATATATTACAAAAACAGGCCAGAATCCACTGTATCACGGCGAAACAATATCGCTATGTCAGTTGGTTTTTCAAGTCTTGCACGTAGATTTCTTGTAAGTAGTCTTCAAAGGAAATCATCAATGACTGGTATTGCTCCGTTATCTGAACTGATGAAGAATGATATCCACAAATTACTTGGTACCAAAATTCATAGTAAGGATAAAGAAGGGCCCAAACAAACAATATCTTCAGCACCATTACGTAAATTGGGAGACAAAGAAGATTTGGCGCATGAATTTTCAGAGAAGCTTGTTTCTTCTAGTTTGGATTCTTCAGGATATCAATCTCCTCCTCTGGAACATATGAAAGTTTCTTTCAATCCAATGATTGACTCAGACGTCTCCAAGCTGAATCTGGAATTTTTTAGTAGTCAGCAACAAGGAAACATCATGTTTCCTTCATTTCAATTACTCCCTGCATCATTTCAACCTTTGTTGGATGGTGTTTTGGAATCTGATGATGACACCTTTTGCAGATCTTGTCCTTATTCTTCTGATGATCTTCTAACCTTACATTCAGAGTCGGATGATGAGATATGGGGAGAGGATGAAATAGATATTTCATACAGAATTGAGGCAACTGATTCCATTTCAAGCTCCATTGAATTAAATGATTGTAATGCTTGCACAGTAAGTCAGGTCAGTGATGATGAGAATCTAGAACGTGGAAGTGATGAGCTATCCTTTAACTCAGGCGACATAATAGATCTTCCCAATATATAGTGAAGTATAAACTTATTTACTCTGTTGATAGTTTGCCAGCTGAAAGATTTGCCTTTTGTCAGTTAAAAAACCAGGATCATGATGCACTAGGGGTAAATTGACCGTTTAGTTTTTGTTGTCTTTACTTGTCTTTAAATTAAAATAAGTTGCATGGAAATATGTAATAGTTTCTTATGTCATAACTCATAACCCTGCTTTACGTGCTGCAGAATGTTCGGTAGTACCTTGAATCGACTTGTAGAATCATCTCATGCATGGAATGATTGTAAGCTAGATTGAAAGATAAGGCTTGCCGCAGCATCATGAAGACAAGGTTGGTTTTCTTTAACCCTTTTGACTGCAGCAGGAACGTGATTGAATTGCTTCATATTGCTATTCCTTACAAGATGTTTATATTTCATCAACATATGAAATATAATTGGTTTCTTAAGCGTTAACTTAATGTTGGCGATACTTGCAAGGGAATGGTAAGCTCAATACACCAGATTGTTTTGAATATTAGTGACGGTGTTTTCCATGAAAATTTGGACTAGTGCTCATCATGGAATACAGTAAAACTAATATTGTGGCTTTAGTTGAAAATATTTAGAAATATCCCTTCTTTCTCAGTAGTACGTATCAAGAGGTACAAAATTTGTGACTTATTAAATTGAGAACCCCACCATAAATAACATACAACAACAACAACAATATCAAGCCTTTATCCCACTACGTAGGGTCGGATACATGAATCCTTTTTCTCTTTTGTGTCCTATTAAAAGTCATGCTCATAAATAACATAGCGATGAATAAAATGTTCTAGGAAACCTCAAACTAAAACTATATTACAAATCATGTATGGCATGCTTTTCTAAATCATTAGAGTGCTTCATTAATATTTTTCTTTATATATATATATATATATATATACTGAAGAGGTTCCAAAGCTGTGGTTAACTTTTCAGCAAGTTGTTTTGAACGTGGAATATGAGTAATGATCTTGGCTAATACAACATTTCAGATGAAGTCTCAATCAACTTTAATATGTTTTATTCTTTTGTAGAATATTTTACTTTTGGCAATGAAAGTGACAATTTAGTTACGGCAATTTAATATTATAGATTTGTACTAGATAGATCATATCTCATGAGGATCTTTTCCCACATCATTTCATACGTATAATAGGTTATGAATCTATGCTTGGCCTCTAGATTTTGATCTAATGATTAAGATTTATTTTTTGCTTTTCAATGTAACTAATTTGCCTCCTACAATAATTCAGTATCTATTCATAGATTTTCTATCACCAATAAATTTATCATAATCAACATAGGAAGGGGTTTTTTTATTAAGGTGCCATTTTTGTTGCATGGTAACTTTTTTCCTAGGACTAATTTCCTCCTTCATGTGACTTGTTTTCCTCTTACAAAAATGCAATATCTAGTAGTGGATTTCCTATCATTAATAGATTCATCATAATCAACTTTAGAGAAGGATTTTATATGTAGATGCCACATTTATGTTATATAGTAGTTTTGATCGGATTTCTTGATATATTTAAGGATATGAAAATGCCTTCCCTATCACAACCTGGCCTCAGAGTACTGAGGTGGGAATAGATGGTCGAATGGAATTTTTAAGTTATATCTACTAACATCAAGTCATCAACTTATATCATAATAATTATTTGTACATATTCATAATAATGATCTTCAACATATCAAAAGAGCTACTGCAACATCAAGCCTTTATCTCATTATGTGGGGTCGGCTACATGAATCCATTTTCTCCATTGTGTCCTATTAAAAGTCAAATTCTCGTTTAAATCTAATAAAGAAAGATCATATTGAAAGAGCTACTAAATCATCAAAATTAATTTTAAAATAACGATTAATATAATATAGTTATTTCAACATCCAAAATGTTAAATATCTATTTCTTTAAGCTCCACGTCATCATTACACAGTTTCTCTTCTTATACTTATACAGTTCTCAAGATCTTTTCCTGAGTTATTAATTCAAAATAATGGTGAATTATTAATATAACTTAAAACATTGTCATTGCCAGATTCCAAGTTCTGAATGAGAAAAGTGAGAAGTTGTGTTAGGTAGTCGACAACCAGCGTAAAATTTGTCGAATAATCGTGACATGAATCATTTAATACATTGTGTTAATGCTAGGGCTTTCCCTGAAAGCGACCTGATGTATGACCTGAATACAGTGACAAGCATGCAATGGTTGTTGCATCGATATCCGGGGGCAGTATTAAGTAGGCAAGGGTTTCAACATCATAGATGGATGTGGACAAAGAAGCTATTACATGAAACTAAAATTAAGATAGAAACTTGGAATGTATGTTCCCTTATAGGCAAATTAATATATATTATGATATATAAAAAGATAAATATTTTATGCAATCAGGAAACTAAATGGGTTGGAGAGAAGGTAAGGAGATTGATAGTTTAGGATTTAAACTTTGATATTCTAGTAAGAGCCGTACTAGAAATGATGTAGATATGATTATATATAAGAGTTTAAAGGATAATGTTGTAAAAATTAATAAAATTTGAGATAGAATTATAGTTTTAAAGATTGTAATTGATGCTAAGATTATTAATATTATAAGCTCTTATGCTCCTTAAATAGGTTTGGATATGAGTTCAAAATTAAAAATTTAGAATAACTTAGAATAATTAATATAAAAGATACCTCATTGAAAAACAATTTATTATAGGAGATTTAAATGCACATGGTGGTAGAGAGGTAGATGACTTTAAAAACATTCATGGTGGTTATGAGTTTGGAGCAACTAATGAAGGTGGTAAGATTATATTTGATTTTTCTTTAAGTTATGATTTTGTAATTGCTAGTTCCTTATTTAAGAAAATAGATGAGCATCTCATCACTTATAATAATGTATATAGTAAAACTTAGATTTATTATTTCTTATTATAAAATATATAATTTAGATTACAAATATCGTAAAGTTATTTCGAGTGAAAGATTACGTTTTCAACGTCACTTATTAGTTTTGGACTTTAAGATGAAAGTGCATAAAATAAAAAAATAAAGTAAAACACAAGGCTTTTAAAATCGGACCGATCAATGAACTGGAAGGAGGAGGGGTTAGAGGTTTGATGGTTCGACCGGGGTCGAACCGGAGTCGAACCGGATGACGTAATAAATATTTATTATATTTAACTATTATAATAATGACATAATTATTTATAAATATATAACAAAAATTGAAAAAAAGTATAATACTTTTACTTATATAATAGTGAAATGTTAGTCAAATAAATTCAAACATTTAAATCTAAAGGATATAAACTATATTACCATAGATAATACTAAACCCAATATAATAGCATTTGATAATAATTAAGCATGTAACAGCAAAAAACTTGAATTAACTAAAAGAATATCAATAACAAGGCATGCATATATGATAAACTAAATAATCCACATGAATAACTTTGGCTTGAATAGGATGAAAAAAATCAAAATGAAAATATCCATACCATGGACATAAAAAGCTGCCCAAAAAGTTCAGAAGGTGGAATGTCCTCCAAGGTGGCTAATATGCTTTCACTGCATGATCAAAGCAAGTTGGGATTATATTAAAATCAAAAGAAGATGAAAAAGGTAACAAAAAACTTCTTACACGGCTAAAACTTCAATAAATTACCTGCGATAGATGCAACCCAATGACAACGCTATAGAACCAATATAGTTTGAATCAGTTGGTGATACTAGTTCCCCAAGCAGACTCTTTGCCTGATGAACATAAATAAATGCCTAAACTTAGATGAAGCGTTAAAGAACCTGATTAATGCAAAATCATCTTGAATTATACCCAACATGTTACAGTTAAATTAGGTAGATTGGTGCACAAGAGAAATTATAAGAGGTTCAAATAACTGATAGATAATCATTTTATAGACATGCTAAAATTAAAAACCAGAATTCTGACACTGCGAAAGCATGCAAATTTGGTACCAAATCTTCAGAAATTCCTTGTTAAAAGTGCACTAATATTAATCAAGAAACAATGAGAACTATGGCACTACAAAAATGTATGTGAACAGACCATCCTAGCTGTGAAGATGTCACCCCCAAGGCGAGCTAACAGACCAAGTCCTTCTGCACATGCTCTCCGCTGGGCTGAAGTGATCTCACCTTTTGCCAAAATGTCCTTTTCAGAGACAAAGAGATAAGAAACAGAAACCAACCATGATTAGCATCACAACACATATTATATATAAATAGAGACAAATGAAGACACAAAAATACGCTCTTATATCATCATTGTATTTGAATACCTATATGGACATCCATATACTTCTGTTTGTGGATGAAATACGCTTCTTTCGGGATAACAAGGCTTCCTTGTTTAATTTACAAGGCTTATGGCCTTGGGAAAAAAATCAAGACCAAGCATCATGTAAGCTGATAAAAAAAAAACTTTGCTTTGTTATTTTCACTTACAACTTGCATGTTCATAACACTTGTACATGTCTTTCTTAATTAGATAAGATAGACAATAAACGCGTGGTTATGATGCCTCTTGCACAACTAGCTCTAGGGGTCCCACAGTTGAAGCTGAAGTCTGATTACTAGATTCTTCAATTCTAATTTGGTTTACTAAATAAACTCACTCTATCCCACCTGTGGACACAATAAGATAGATAAAAGGGAGAATATGACATTTTTGAATAAAATAGAAAGTTAACGTGATATAGAGATTTAGGCAGTACTTATTATATCAAAGTTAATACGACCCTAAACAATTTATGATATTTCTTTGTTTTTCCTACTTAGATATTCCTCTCCAATTAAAGATGCAACTATATCTTGTGTTTTCCTACTTAGTTCTTTAATAAAAAAGTATTTTTTGGGTGTTCTTCCCAATTTGTTTGAGCCGTTCTATGATCTTGCTGAAATTGCATCCATTTCCTAACACTACAAGTAACTTACCATTGTTATGAAACCATGGAGAAGCTTTATGTTATTAGATCGTTTAATTTACATACTTCTCGCAAAAATTAAAAAAGTAGTAACCATCTCAACTCAACCCATGGGGTGGACAACTAAAGCATGAGGTAACATGGGAAAAAAAGCCCTTTGAATTGCCCAAGCAACCAGAAATGCGTGCCCATCAACAAGCGGGATATCTACAATTTCAAAAGCTTAGAAAAATAATGAACAAACACCTTAAAGACTATCTCTCCCTTTCCAATTTTCCACGCAAATGTGTTCCAAAAAATTAAGTGCAATGGCTGACAAAAGCCAGTAGCCCACATTTAGCCAACTATATGCTTTTTGCATCCACAACAATGCAATTAAAACCAGAGAAATTTAGGGCAGATTAGTCATCCATGCACAACAACAATAAGTTCAGAAATTTTATTCACCAAATCTGCAACACAAAAAAAAAGGAAAATCCACCAAAAACATTAAAAAAAGGAGAAGCATGTGAAGAAAATAGAGACATTGTTGCTCCACAAATCTCATGCATTTGCTGATGTAGAGAACACTAAAGATTTTGAAATTGCAAAATTATTTCGCATTTTGTTGGATATTCCCGAATGCTAGGAGAAGATCGGTTGGCCTAATACCGAATGCAACGAGAAGGAGAATCATGTGAAGAACTCACAGTGGGTTAGAGAAGATAACTTGAGGACGAGAGCTTCAATTCCTGATCGGATTCGCGAGAGGGAGACGAGGTTCGCGAAAGGGAGCTGGGGCCGAAATTCCAAACGAATGAGTAGGGTTTTTTTTTTTTCATAGCAGCTTAAGTCATCCAAATCGCAGGATCAAATCCAACGGCTGAAAATACGCATAATCGAACCGGCCGGTTATTCAAAACCGGAGCGGTTTTCCGGTTCGACCGGTCCGAGGCCGGTTCGATGCGAAAACGGTTCTTTGAAGACCCGTAACCGGCCGGCTGGTTCGCGGTTCAACCGGTTGAACCGGCCGATCCGGTCCGGTTTTAAAAGCCTTGGTAAAACGTTGTTTTAAGATTAGACGGTGGCTTTTAGAAAATATTTATAGAAAGTTTTTTTTAACAATAAGATAGTATATATCAAGATTTTGTCTGTGCATGAAGATTTTAATATTATGTGGGAAAAAGTAGTTAGTGATATTAAAAATGTTGCAAAAGATGTGCTTGGAGTATTAAAGGGAAAAACTCATAATAGTAAAAATAGTTGATTGTGGAATCAAATTATGCAAGAAAAGATTAAAATTAAAAAGATTTGTTATAAAAAATTGGTTAAATGTAAAAATTCTTATAATTAGAAAAGATATAAAGAGAACCGTAAGGAGTCTAAGAAAACAATTTGCGATATAAAAATTTTAGCTTTTAATGATTTATATAATATATTATATACTGAGGGAAAAAATACAAGTATAAGTTAGTCAAACAAAGAGATAAAAGTAGTAAAGATTTAGTTCAAGTAAAGTGTGTTAAGGATGAAGATCAAAACGTGTTTTTATTAGAAGAGGATATTCAACAAAAGTGGAGATATTTTTCTAAAATTTTCAATGAAGATTATAAGAATATAATTGATTTTAGTGACCTTAGCATCCTAAATGAAAATAAAGATTTTTGTTTTTATCGGTTTATTAGTAAAATCGAAGTTAAAGATGTATTAAAGAATATGATAGGTGGAAAAGCTGTTGGACCTTATGATATTCCAATAATTGTGTGAAAATACTTAGGAGATGAAGGAATTTCATAGCTTACTAAACCTTTTAATATTATTTTAAAGACTAAAAAGATGCCAAATGAGTGGAGAATGAGTCTGTTGATTCCTTTTTTTAAGAATAAAGGTGATGCACAAGATTGTACAAATTATAGATGAATTAAATTAAAGTCTCATACTTTAAAACTATGAGAGAGAGTTATGGAGCATATGTTGCGGCATGATACTAATATTTCTCAAAATCAATTTAGTTTCATGATGGGTAGGCCTATTATTGAAACTATATATTTATTGAGAGGTTTAATGGAAAAGTATAGAGAGAATAAAGATGATCTATATATGATATTTATTGATTTAGAGAAAGCATATGCTAAAGTTCAAAGAGAAGTGTTATGGAGAGTTCTATAAAAGAAAGGGGTTAATAATGTTTATATTAAAGTCATTAAGGATATGTATACATGAGTTATTAGTTGTGTTCAGACGCAAGGTGGTTTGACCAAGTATATTCCTATTTCAGTTGGATTACATTAAGGATCAGCCTTAATCCCATTTCTTTTTGCTTTACTCATGGTGTTCTCACTAGACATTTGCAAGTTGTACCTTGGTGTATGCTTTTTGCTGATAATATTCTTCTTGTTGATAAGACTAGAGAGGAAGTTGGAATGCTTTATGGTGCAGAATGTTGGTTATTAAAAGAGAAGCATAATATTAAGTTAAGTGTTGCAGAGATGAGGATGCTCAGGTGGATGAGTAGCTTTACTCTTAGAGACATGATACAAAATGAGCATATACGTGAAAAGATTGAAGTCATATACGTGAAAAGATTGAAGTAGCTCCAATGGAAGATAAGATTAGAGAGAGTCGCCTTAGATGGTTTGGTCACATAAAACGGCGGCCTTCCAATGACCCAGTTAGGAAAAGTAGATGTATTAGATTTGACTTATGTTAAAAAAGATAGAGGTATATCTAAAAAGACTTGGTTAGAAAATATTAGAAATGACATTTCTTTATTAGATTTAAATGAGAATTTAACTTTTAACATGACACAATGGAGGAAAATGATTCATGTAGCCGACCCCATATAGTGAGATAAAGGCTTGATGTTGTTGTCGTTGTTGTTGTCAATATAACTTAGTAGGTTAATTATAGTTCAAAATCATAATAATTCAAAAGACAAAAGAAGAACATTCATGCTTGTCATTATGGGAAATCATAAACAATGCTTATTATTTCGATATCAACTATGAACAGAAATTTTTCTTAACATTTAAAATGGTGTACATAGATGGTCGATACTTTTCCTGTAGGCACGACGTAGCGTAGAATAGGTTCACTATTGTATGAGGTGGAAGATACCAACTTACCTTTAGCTAATATCTTTGTTGTCAGCACAACGGGGCGTAGGTCTTATTTCTATAATTGTTTGAGGTGAAAGGCAAGATCATTAATTCATAGCTACATTAACGTTCCCTGTTAATACCATAATGAGATGAACTCCATTTGTTAGCATGCACATATATTCCTTTATATTTAACAATTTTCTTACATTCATTTGACCATTTGTTTAGTAATTTTTTGAATATATTTCATGTAATATTCTTATTAACTTGAAATACGAGTAATTCTAAATAACATTCAATTTCATATGAGGATTTCATGTATGAGAATGAGATAATCAATCTTGACAACTTTTCAATAATGATATTGTACTAATAAGAACATTTTTCAATACATGCGGGAGGCTATAATAATTAATGCAATAAGTTTTGAGAATGTAATTCATTATTATAAAATAGAGGTGAAATTATCCACCTTAAGTAGATTTGGTTTTCACTTTTATCCTTGGCCCACATCCGTTAATTTGACGCTTACGATAATGTATAGACATTCATATTAATTTACTTATATACCTATATTTCCATTTAATCAAGAGTTTGTCATTTAGATAATTTGATGACATCATCACGAGATAGAGGAGAAGCATCCATATGGATGGGTTTGTCATGAGAAATGAGAAGAAATAAAAAAACCTGTTGGTTTCATTAAACTGTTGTACCAATGATGGAATAGGATCTTGAGTAAGGGAGAAAATTTTGAGCGACCATGGCATGTGGAGTGTAGGTTAGATATATTAGGGTGGATTAAAAATATTTAAGCCATGCCACGACAAGGGTGGCAAGAGAACAAGACTTGATTATTTAATATCATGGGACAAACAAGCACTACAAATGATTGAGGAAAGACCCATGTATTTGGTACGGGTAGAGGCCACTAGGGCAAGCAAGATGGAGTGGGTGTCAATGATTTTGGTGGAGGATAAGGAATTGATTGTTGTTGCAAGTGGCGCATGTGATGGGTATGCTAGAGGAGAGCCTTAGTGGCATGGTGGGACAAGATTAGGATTCGCCCACACTGTCGGTGGGGATCGTAATCAGGAATGAGAAGAAATTGAGATTGGGATTGGGAGGTGTGAGTGAAAATCATTGTTTGGAGGGGGTTAGAGGGAGTTGGCGATGAGATCGGAGATGATGAGAGTTGGCTTGCTCAAGCGGAAATTGTGAGGCAGTGGTCTCTTTCATGAGGGTTGGATGACTGAAAGAAAGGGTTTTCATGCCTACGTATTTAGAGATGGCTAGAGTTGCTAACCCTGTTCTGATGCCTATATTTAGGCCTCGTTTGGTAGCAGATGGAGTTTTGGTGGGAAACGGTAGTTCGAAAACTGCCTTTTATCAACGGAAAAGCAAAAATAAAAAGCTTCACAAATCGGTACAATAACGGAGGTTTGAAAAATACAGTTTTGTAAAAAGTATGCATCCAAACAACAACCGACATCTTTTTCACGTTTCAGAACGCTAACGACACTAATCATGCCCAACCAAACCAAGCCTCAGAAGGAGAATATTTATATTTTATTTAATGGAAAAACCTCTTATATATAATATAAGGATGAATACAATGTTCCAGGGAACCTCATACTACTAAAATATCTAATATCATTAACCGTATAGATTTAAATGAGAATTTGACTTTTAATCGGACACAATGGTGAAAAAGGATTCATGTACCCGACCGCACGTAGTGGGACAAAAAAGGCTTGATGTTGTTGTTGTTGTCCTACGCCAACACTATCTGTCAATAAGATCATAGAGTAATCATTTCACCTCCAATCCATGCTCCCCTTGAAGTTTCCTAATTTATGATTGGTCAAATTTGGGAGGAATTTGAAATTCAAATTCACTTGATTTGAAATTCAAATAAACTTTCCTTATTCACAAATTCTATGTTAGGAAACTTTTGAATTCATGCCTAATTAAAATTTAATTAAGAAAGGATTGAATTAAATCTTTCCAATCTTATGAATTTAAATTAGGAAGTTTCTTAATTCTCCAAATTTTCCCTCCCATCACCCATGATGCCGCCTGCCCCTATCTCCTAGTTCATGAGTATTTGCAAATTACTTACTAAAACCAAATCCATCTTTAGGAAATAATTTCATATATTTTAATATTCCCCCCAGCCGAAAATTTCAAAAGGATTCAAGCATTAAATATTTCCCTGAAATACGGGATTGTATTCAGGAATTTAACCCACCTCCACATCCCTATCCCGCCGCTCCCCCTTTCCCTTGATTGCTGGATGTTTGAAAGCTTTCCATAAGTTGAGTAAATCGCTTTGGAAAGATTGCCTGTTGCTCTCTCCTGCTGGCCGAAAACCCCCACGGCTCATGTGCTAATTTCCCTCCACAAATCTCCACCCAAATTCACTCAGATGTTGGACTTTTCTGCCGTCTAAAGTTGCAACCAGAGCATTCCAGCAACTGGCATTGTTCTCACAGCCACTTGAAGTCTCACAGCTTCTGTTTTGCAAGATCAACCTGCTGTCCAACCATTTCCACTAGTCTGAAGCGCCATACAATCGTTGGAGAGGATTTCCCTTGCTGATCAATACCTCGCCAATCCCAAAACAGCCAGGTATTACAGGGATAACCGATCCCAACACTGATTACGGGATCGTCTATCGACAACGCTTTGAGGGCATTAAAGTGGAAGATCTCCACGTCTCCTTGAGCAAAGGTTTCTCTTCCACTTACATCTTATTTCTTTTAAATCTAAATTCTCATTGGTGTGATTGTAGTTGCGAAAGTCTCCTCCAAGTGCTCTTGCTAAGCTTTGTAATTCATAGGAATTGAGCGTGCTTTCTTTGCATCCTAAATCTCGTTGTTAGATTAGGGATTAACTTGAAGACTACTATTATGTATTGTCTTATTTTCTTAATTATCTTGATTGTTCAAAGCTTGGAGCATGTGGTTTAGCCTTTGCAAACTAACCCCTTAATTGTTTTACTCGTCGTTGGAAATTACTAGTAATTTTTATTTCAAAATTATTCTAATCTAAGAGTTGTGCAATGCCTAAATGAATCCATAAACATTTCATCTAAGTAGTCCTGCATCATAATATCATTAACCGTATATATTTAAATGAGAATTTGACTTTTAACCGGACACAATGGCAAAAAAGGATTCATGTAGCCGACCCCACGTAGTGGGACAAAGGCTTGATGTTGTTGTTGTTGTCGTCCTACGCCAACACTATCTGTCAATAAGATCATAGAGTAATCATTTTAAAATGCGATCCATTTCTTTCATAAAATGAAAATGTCACATGGTGTTCTCAGTGTGTAATCTCAGGATACTCATCATAAAAAACTCGACCTTACTTCAAATTGTCACAAAAGGGGATTAGAACCTCCAATAGACTAACTAAAGGCTGTTTTGAGCTTTTATTTTGTTGTCATTTTGGCCTGCAGGTACTTTTTTGCATGGCAAATTCAAAACCAGACTGTCCTATAAACATTATCACCTGAGGCGAATAGGCGATTATCATCAGGTGATACTCGAACAATACAGAAGAAATTACCATGTCCAGGCTTACTTCCAGTGTTTATGATGTGCATATTGTGTTGTCTTCTGCTTTTATTATTTTTTGGAGTTCTTTTTAATCTTTTTTTTTTTTTGCTTTTTGATACGAGTTTTTATGCTGTAAAGTACAACCCAGAAAATAGAATAATTTGATTCCTTATTTTCTTGAGTATGGAAAACTACTTGGCATGTTTTGCATATTTTTTTTAAGTACAATTTGTTGATCAGAATGGCTGGCATTTTCACCCTCTGGAGATCTTTGGAGGCTTTTCTGATCCTGCAACTACTTAGATTGGCAAACTCCAACTCGAGCAACCCTAAGGGGCAGTTTGGTAGCAGGATTTAGGTCGGATTTGAGTGAAATCCAGCCAAACAGCCTAAAATGCAAAACCAAACTTTACGACAAATGAAAGCCGCTGTAGACTAAAAATTCCGCCTTTTCCTGCTAAATCCGGGATTTCTGAAATCTTGTTTTTTGCCAGATTTATGAAATCAATTGGCTGTCCGCTCGTTAAATTCGCTCTACATCCAAAATCTCACACCGGATTGAATAGGATTTATCATGAATGTTACCAAATAATTTTCAGGATTTAAGACCCTCAGGATTTCTGAAATCCATATTTGAGGAATTATGAAATTCTACTTAAATCAAATCATGGGTGCTACGAAACAGCTCTTAAAAGTGATGACTTTGTTTGGGTTGAAGGTAGTGATTGTAGCTGATAATTTCAACATTTTAAAGCATCTCAAGGTATTTCTTCATAATTCCAAGTGTCTTAGATTTTATACATACTCGCAAACCTTTCAAGTAACTCAACAGAGAAGTGAGCATCTTCTGCTTCAACGTTTGGATATCATGGGTAAAATTGCCAAATGTAAGCTGCTTAGAAATTATTAAATTCGGACGTCATGCATAGAGCTATTTGCGTTGTGTATTTGTTGCGTATTTAGAGTTTAATTGTATGTAAGAAGTACACATTGTGTATGTACTGCGTATAAAAAAAAACTTGTAATACAGTCTTGCACTCCGATAATTTCAAAATTGTATGATCGGTATGAATATCAAGATAATATTTAAAATGAAATTTTTCTAAACTAAATTCGTAGTCATATGAATATTGATTTCAATAAACTTATAATTGAATTAAACATCTTGATGAGATGAATCTATTGATATTATAAATGATTTGATCCAACTTTAATGAGCACAAATCAAGCATTTGAATTTTGTTTGAAAATGTAAAAGCATAAATGGATGGATCAAATGATTTTCAATCAGAGTATTCTTATTTGAAATTTAAAGTTTTGATGAGATGAATCTAACAAGTATAAGATCACTTGATTCTGCCATTATAACTACTCTCATTTTTTAATTTGTTAGATAAAGAGGATTATTATATTTTCTACTCTGCAATGAAATATTGCAACTGTGTTAGATCATGTGGTCTTTCTTCTTTCTGTGTTTTTCACATAAAAATTTGTATGATCACTTATAAGTTTTATCTATTACTACTTATGAAAAATGAGGCATCTTATATATTATAGACACATAATATCCTACTAATTTGTTGAAGAAATTCTTTATTGAAAATTTTTGAAAAATGGAAAATTTTAATGAGCATTGATTTAAAACAACTTATTTTCACTAGTTTAATTTATTATCCTATTAATTTATATCTTATTGAGAACCTAATAAAAGATTTTCTATTTTATTATCGTAGTATTATATAAAAAATCATTAATTTTATATAATAAAAATTTGAAGTCATAGGACAGAATATGCTTTGTTTCTGCTACCTTAAGCCTTTAAGAGAAAAATGAAGGACACTTTGACTAACTAAATCTGCGGGAAATGAGTTTTATAATTATTGAAATTATTTTAAGTTGATTATAATATAAATATTTATTGCCTAACTAAATAATAAGGGGTTGTTTGATTGGCTGAGAAAGAAATGCATTGTAAGATTTGAAATACTTTGAATATGTGTAAAATAAATATATGTGATTATTTTTTTATTTAACTTGAAGTAAAATAGATGGAGATTGAAGTACAAAGATGATGGTGGTCAATAGCCTGTGGTGGTGGCTGGTCGCGGTGGTCATGAGTGGTGGGTGGTCACCGGTGATAAGCATGCCTGATGGTTGTGGTGACGGGCAGCGGGTGGCTACAACTTCAATAGATGGAGATTGAAGTAAAAAGACAATAGTGATCAATAGCCAATTGTGGTGGTGGCTGGTCGCGGTGGCCATGAGTGGTGGGTGGTCGTCGGTGATAGGCATGCCCGATGGTGGTGGGGACGGGTAGCGAGTGGCTACAGACGACTAGTGGTGACGATGGCAATGACAATTGTAGGCGTGGCGGCTGTATGTAGGCGGTGGCAAGGGACGTTGCTATAATGAGTGGCAATAATTATGATGGATTTATGGTGTATTTAAAAATCTTCCAAATCAGACTAATTACAAATACATTTGATTTACACAAAAGGATGTATTCTAAATACCTTAAAATTGTACCATGCATTTATTTCACTTTAAAGTAAACATTAATATTCTCAAAAACACTGCTGACTAGAATCAATTTCATCCATTTTACTTCAAAATCAAATATACCCTAATAAAAATAATAATAAATAAAAGAAAAAAATTTCAAAGTTAATCCTAATTAAATTTTAATTAGCTAATCATTTTTAATGAGATTTATAAATGATATATGGCATGTGAATAACATGTACCATCTTTCATAAAAGCTAAGAAAAATATTTTAAATTATATTTTGGATGCATTATCTTGTACTTTTTCAAAAATAATAATAATAATAATACTTCAACGCTCATATTTCACCATCCATGCCATCCCGTTGATTGCAAATCCTCCACCAAAATAGCATAATTCTAAAGCATATATATTTTTTTCTTCTATATTTTCTCTCTCTTCAAAGCGATCACGCAAACGCAACTTATAATGTCAGCAGGGATGTGTATGTCAAGAAAAAGTTATTATGTCTGGACAAAAAATTAGAAATCCAGACAAATACTGAGCGATACTGAGTGCTGTACTGAGCACGTACCGAGCGCTCAAGTGACGTGGCGCTTTGTTATTGATCTCTGGACGCATTCGATGTCTGGACACTATAATTACTTGTATGTCAAAGCGTTCTTACGTTTGTAATGTAGATGTTAAGTTATGCATTACGTTGGGCATCAGGACCAGCATTTATGTTAAGAGGAAAATAAAAAGATTAGGCTGAATTTTATTTCCTCACTTTGTTTCTTTTCAATTACAGTGAAACTGTCATAAAAAAATATATATATGTGGTAGCCGAAGGGCATAAACAAGTGAGAGTGATTGGAGAATCATAATTGGGTGGCGGTGATTCAAAATTTGTAGTTGAGCGATAATGATCAGAAAGATGTGGTCATGTAATAGATTGGAGGACTATAATCAGCGGCGGTGGTTAGATGGTGCTGGTGGCGATCATCGAGTGATGGTCCGTTGTTGTTGGAGATCTACTCTAATAATGATGCTATGATTGTTGTCATATGAGGTGGTCACGTAACGCCTTCACATCTATCATTTCAAAAATTAAAAGGAGAAATTTTTTGAAACTCTCCTAAAAAAAATATGGCTGGGTGGTGGTAGCCGAAGGGCATAAACAAGCGAGAGTGATTGGAGAATCATAATTGGGTGGCGGTGATTCAAAATTTGTAGTTGAGCGATAATGATCAGAAAGATGTGGTCAGGTAATAGATTTGAGGACTATAGTAAGCGGCGGTGGTTAGATGGTGCTGGTGGCGATCGAGCGATGGTCCAATGTTGTTGGAGATCTACTCTAATAATGATGGTATGATTGTCGTCATATGAGGTGGTCTGATAATGCCTTCACATCTATCATTTCAAAAATTAAAACGAGAAATTTTTTAAAGCAATATGTTGAAAATTTTAATAAGCAAAAAAGAAAACGTTAAAATTTAATTTGCTATACCACGCAAATCGTTACCTTTGTTAATGACTTGCTTGCCAATTGTTGTTCCCTTCCACTGTGGTAGTTGTGCGGGTTGGGTTTAGCCGTCGGGTATATGAGTTGAGCTGGCTTGAGCTCAATTCGTTTATCTGCTCGCGAGCCGAGCTTAGCAAGCTCATGAGTCGATCTCAAGCTCAAACTCAAGCACATTTAGTTAACGTGCTCGAGTTCGAGCTAGATGAGGGGATGCTTAAAATCGAATTCGTGGGCGGGTATTAGCGGATGAAGCAGGTCAGTAGTCGTCCGCTTAGCTAACGACTAGGAAGTCATTTTGAAGGGTAAATACTCGAAGACAAGTCATTTTGAAGGCTAACGACTCATGACAGTCATTGCGAAGGGTAATGACTTTCGAGTCATTTTGAAGGCTAACGACACGATAGTCGCTATCTTCGGTGACGACTAGCCATTCGACCGAGGGTAGGGGGCGGAGGGTTAGGGATTACTGTGTCGGCAGCGTGGCTGGTGGGTAGGGGACAAGGTAGGAATGGGGTGAGGGATTGTTGCATCGGCCTAGTGGTGGGATAGGGAGATCAGCTGACTTGCATGGAGAGATGAGGTCACATTCATTGCGAAAATATAGGTCCGGATATTCAATTCAAATTTGTCACGTGACTATGCTTTGACTGCGCTTTACCTACGCTTTTGGCGTGCTTGACTTAAAATTCCGCGGACACGTGTACATTGCACATGTCAATATTTCATTGGACAGCGGGCGTATCTCTACGTCCGGTGTCCAGACCGGCCTGCACGATAAAATTCGACATATGAGGGTAGGAGTTGATTCATCCACATAATTTTCTTTCTCTTAATTAAATTATCTTTTCAGACTGATTTCCCTTTCACTTTTGTCTCTTGTACAACAGTTGTGTTAAGTGTTATTCGGGCTTCTCTGCTCTTCAACCTGCCGCAACGATGATCAGATCTCCCATCACTTATACACTTTGTTC